TTCCATGGTTCAACACATCTTGAAACCCTAGACAGAAAAACAAACATCAATATTAATGTAATGCAATTTTTTTTGCATTACAAAAAGTGTAAAAAAGTTTTCCCTACTACTCTATAAAAACATTACTTTTGTGCTGAACTTTAATCATGTACTGGCAGAATACTTTCCACCAGTAGAAAAGGATGGAATTTTATCATTGCAGCTATAAACACTTACATCAACTATAATCGACATAAAGAGAATTCCTCCACTGTCAGACTGACATATTTTTCTACTTGCAGTATTGCAAGCTTCCCAGACAAAGAATAAAAATGTTTACAATGTTTTGATCGTATCAGAGCAATGCTTTGCAAAGTTTACGTAACCCTGCAACAGTCAGGCTCTCTGCACAGAGGTTGCTTGATTTCTGACTGCTTTGCCTGGTCATAAATCTACAAGTAAAAGGCTAACAGGATAAATTAATTCTGTGTCTGAGTTGTGCTCTAGTGGAAGTTTTGCCAGGAATTAGTTTTGACCCAGTGCAGCTCGTTTGGTGAGTTGGCTGGTGGTTTGGGTGGGAGGCGTGGAACCAATTATAACAGAAGCTGGTATTTCCAGAAAAGGAAATTTAGAGCTGAATAGTAAATTCAATGTGTTTATAATATAACAACAATAACATATTAGCTTCATGCCTTTTATTTAGAAATGGCTCCAATATTAAATAACTTCAATAACTTCTTTCTTCTCATATTACTACAAATGATGGGCTTAAACTTTTCCCAGGCTTCTAGGATCCCTCTTTCTGTCACAAAGCACATATAGTGGAAGGCAATGTAAAAATATCCAAGTAACCTGTAGGAACATGTTGGACACTGTAGGATGCCATAAAAATATATTAGTAAGAGGGCTCATGAGCATAGTTCCATGAAAGCCTGGAGGCTTTGAAGGGCTTTGCCATGTTAATCAGGCAAGGTAACTGCTGGGTGTGCCATTCTGTCACAACGTTAAGGGAGTTAGAAGTTCTGCTTTCCATGGCTTTATTGTAAAGGTACAGCTGGTGCAGAATGCTACTTAGATTTTTACCCAAGTGCAACAAAGTTCTGGATGACTTAAGGGAAAATGCAAAGACCTGTAAGAAGGGCAAGAATTGCCCTGTATGCTGTAACCTAACCGGTAGTGTTGGAATTTCTCCAAGCTTTGGAAAAGACACAGAGCAGGTGTAGCCAGTTTAAGCGTCATTTTAGAGGTGGGTGGCTCCTAATTTTACTGCAAGAGAGAATCGGAGAAACAGCTCAGAAGGAGAGGCTGGTTTCTTTTGGTGTTTTATTGCCCAGTGAGATTGCTGCTGGGCAGGAAGAACATCCCTTGGCCAATCCCATCCCCACTCTGAGCTGATCCTGGGAGCTCTCTCCTCACTCTTGAAGACTGAATGGTTTAAGGAAAAGAACAGATTTTTTACTCAGAGACACAATCTCCCACAGTCTTTTGCCCTCCAGGAACTCCCTGCAGTCTCACTTAAATCACTTGAATAATGTCTTTCCTGCAGATTTAATATTTTTTGATTAGAGAAAGCATAACATTATGAGTGGTATTTACTTAATGACCTGGTTCACATGCTGTATTGTTTTGAGTCTTGGTCAGAAGAAGAGTTTGGTAATGTTGTTGTTCAGAAACTTTGCTCAGGAAAAAAACAAATTAGTAACCATAAAAGTACTTCACAAAGGCTTATCAAGTTCAATTACACTTTAGGTATCATTAAATTAATATCTCATTCAAAAGTAAATAACTACATAATTTTTGTAATTCATTTTTCCCATTCTCCTTGATTTTATCTAAAAATTATTTAACAAATAAAAATATTTTGATTTTGTCAGATCAACGCTTTTCAATCATTGTTTTTTTCCAAATGTTCAATTTATCAAAAACAGCTGGGGCACTTTTAACTTTATAAATGCTTTTAATTTTGTGTTTTCATTAACAATCCTTGAATTAAGAATTAATTTTCTAGTTCAGTAATAGCTGTTGTTACTGCTTCTAAATCACAAGCTGCTTAGGTATTTCTTTGCCTTTCTGATGTGCTTTCAGTCACATATAAAACATTTCACAAGCTTCAGGACAAGACAAAAATGGTCTTTCAGATGAGGAAAGACTTCTGCACTGGTTTCTTTAACACATGGAACTGAAGATTTTCAGTTGGTGAATTTAAAGGAACAAAAAGCTTTAATGTATTTCTTTTTTAACAATGAAAACCACTCAAGAACAGATGTTGGTCATAACCAAAATTAGAGCAATTCAGTTCAAAATAGACAGAGTAATGTTATGCTCCAAGGAAGAGATTCCTGTAATAGTTTTGGTGAGGTAATCATAGGGGAAAAGATCTTATACTTTGATTGACTTTCTTCTTTCTCATTCTGGCTTTCATTTTTGTGAAAAATGTAGCAGAGACAAGTTCAGTATTTCCTGTGAAAGTGTATCAGCCATGAAAGAGAGAATGAGCACCAATGTTAGGACAGCAGGAATAGAAAGATGACCCAGCTAAAGAGGATAAAAGTATATTAGAAACAAAAAGACTGATGGAATGGCACCAGACTGTAACATAAACTTTTTAAAGTTATGTATAGAAACATAATATAGCAGAACAAAAAAGAATTTGAGGAACAACTTGAAAAAAAATAAAAACTACAAATTATAGGTTTTTTTCATTTTTCACCAAATAAAAACTAAGTTGGAAAGCTTGCCAGGACGTATAGGGCCAAAAGATGATGTAGATGAAAAAGAAGCATTCAGAGAAGGTAAAGGGGTACCACAGAAGTCAAATAGGTAAATTGGTTTATATTGTCAATCACAATGGAAGGACATAGGGGTTTTCTGTGATAGAATTTTTTTTTACAATGACAGAGAATATCTCTCAAAATGAAATGTTGGCACAAACCCCCCAATTATAGAACAAATCAACAAAATGACAAAATTGTCTAGATAGGATGGCCCAAGTATGGAAGTTATTCAAGAGTGAAATAAATGAGCTATTAACCATAGCATGTAACATCTTGCTTAACACTGCTTCAGTGACTGAGAAACAAAAATTGGCAAATGTGATGACAGTTTTTAAAAACACTTCCAGGGAAGATTTAGAGGATTAAAAAAACCCTTTGGGGCTCAAGCTGGAGAAGCTGGTAGGAACAGCAGTGAAGAACAGAGCAAGTAGGTACAGTGCATTAATACGATTTGCCATAAAAGGAGTGCATTGCTCACAAACATATTCTGAGTTTTGCGAGGGAGACAGAGAGCATGGGAACAGGGCTGACCTGCTTGAGTTCCAGACAGCACTTGATGAGGTCCCTTGCTAAAGGAACATTAAGCAATTAAGTTACCGTGGGATAAGAACCAAGGATTGATTTCACATGAGTAAATGATTGGTTAGGATATTAACAAAAAAAAGTTATGAATAAGTGCCCAGTTTTCTCCATTGTTAAAATAATTTTAAATGTTCATAATCTGGAAAAGAGGTAAACAGCAAAATTCTTTAATCTGCTGAGGACTGTGCATTAAAGTAATAGACTGTATGATACTAGATGATTCAAGAGTAAAATGGTATGAAATTCAACAGAATTAAATGTAACCTTACACTGATAATGAGGGGCTCTAAACTAGCTCTAAACTCAGAAATGGGATCTTGCAGCTTTACAGTTTTGAATGCAGCACTCATTGGTCGTTGAAAACCTAGGAAAAGGCTAGACAGAGAACAAAGATGAGAAGATCATTACAGCATTTTATAATGCTATGTCTTGAGTACTGTATGTTTTGTTCTCTGCAGCTCAATCACTATAAAAGAGCTGAAAAAATACAGAGAGAGGTGGTGGGGATGCTACAAAAGGGTAGAATTGTTTCCATATGAGGAACAGCTAAAGAGACTGTGTCTTGAAGCCTGGAGAAGAGGTGATGGGGAGAATATAAAAACAGAACCATGAACAGCATGGAGGAAGAAGCTGAAGGTACAAAACTTAAGGGGAATCAAATGAAACCAGCAGGTTACAGATTCTAAGCACATGAAAGGTACTTCTTCACATAAGGTACAATTAAGGTGTGAAATTTTTTGCTGGCAGGATGTAGTGTGTCCCAAAAATTTACACGTGTCACAATGAAAACCCAAAATGCATGAACAGATGGAAAAAGTCTAGTAAAACCTGTTAAATACAATGACTCTTCATCTGACAGAAGCAATTCTATAAATGCTATAAATCATCAAAAGCTGGGAAAGTGTCCTGACCTACGCAGTTATACATCCAGTACTGTTCTCCACTGGAGGCAGGTACAAGGCTAGATGAATGCTCAGATGGACTTCAACTTTTAAGGTTTTCAATTTCCATACTGTACATTCTGGAATTTGAGCTTAAAATCCCATTTCTACATTCCCACCCTGAGCTCAGGGAGTCATGGTAAGACTTGAGTCAAATTGGGAACCTGGAAAGAAGCAGGTCAGCCCACTCCTTGCCCACTGTAGCTTGCAGATCTAATTTCTTGGCTGGGCTCCTTGAGGCTAGGGATCCACAGGTCCAAGCGTCACAGTGGGGACACTGTTTCTGACGTGGCCTCTCCCAGCCACAGCTGGGCCAAGCCAACTGGGTGAAATCCCTTCTGCATCTGTCGTTTTAGCCATGCTTGAACTGGGGAAGAATTGCTAAGAATTTGCTGCCGAGAGCCAAGGTTTAGCTCCAGTCAGCTCCACGTACCTGTGGAGCACAGGGAACAGATTACTGAGCAGCTCTCAGCACGCTTCTCTCAGGCAGCTTTTCCACCCCGAGCCAGGCAACCCTGGGGTGTCGCCTACTGGGTGGCAGGCAGGGCTCCAGCAACCACCGCAGGTGCTGCGAGCAGCCGCTTTGGTGCGCTGGCTTGGCGCTGGGAGCAGAGCCAGGCAGGGATGCGGGGCTGGGGAGGCACTCACGCGTGGCGGCAGAGCACAGCAGCGCTTCGGCCAGGAGCAGCAGGGCGAGGCGGCGAGCGGCGACCATGGTGCGGGACAGCCGGGACAGCCGGGGCGGCCGGGCAGCGGCGGGACCGGAGCCGGCGCACGGAGACTCCGCCGGTCCCGCGGAGAGGTGAGACTGAGGTTTCTCCGCCGCTCTGCTCTCCGATTAAATGAAGGGCCCCGGGACTCATCATGTGATGGAATTAAGCAGAGATGCATGATTTTGTCTTCAGCTTCTTTCAGCTCATGTGCTTATGACTCACTCCCTTTGCTTTCAGCGTTCCCTAGGATTACTGCGAGACCTGTTTGGAGCCACACCATTCACCTCACAGGCATTTTTATACTAGTTTTGCACTGTGATCAATTTTTGTACTTAATTTGTTTTTAAATTAGGAATGCTTATTTCCAGAAATCCAAATTAACTCTTGCCCCAGCCTGATTTGCGAGTGTTACTGCAACAGCTCACTGCATTTGATGGACCCATCGCTACCTAACCACGTGGCCCATCCCGTATGCTGGGCACAGCTCTAAATTAAATGGAAAATGACCAATTCCAACACATCGCTTGACTTGGCTCCTGATCAGAGTTGATTGTTAAGGAAAATATTATTTAAACATTTAGTGGGTACATGCCTATCCAATCTAACCATGGCTAGAGGTGCCATCACAGCCCCTGTGTGGTGATGGCCACTCAATATCCCGCTCCCAAGTTGCTGTGACCCACACACTGACAACTGATTGCATAAACTCCATGGACTGTAGCAATAAACAAAAAATAGGTTTTCCTGACCGGCCTAATAATGAGGTATAACCAGTGGCTCAAAAGGAGCAGTGTAGATCGGCAAACACTGCACCTAGTGGTTCAAATTCACATTCAATGGGCTTGCCCAGCCCAGGTGTGTGCAGCAACTCATTTTCACTGAAGCCCTGGCAGCCTTGTGAAGTTTCTGGCTGTTATTTGCAGCAAAGAACAAGCTTTGGTAGGATGGCAAGGCATAAAGCCAAGTACAGTCCTCAAGAGAGAACTGAGTAGTAATTTCAGTGGTTCCAAAGAACAACACTCATAAGTGTGACATTGGCTAGCCAGAAACCAGTGAGCTGGGTAACACTAAACCATTTTTATTTTGGGCAGGGCAGGTGGAAATCCATCACTCCAAAGCACTGTCAACAGAATGAAGACATTACCCAATGGAAAGGGATTTTAGAACTCTGACTACTTTTTTCTTTTTTTTTTTTTTTTTTTAATTTCTTCTGTTTTTCTGGTGTTTTATATTAACTGTGTAAGTTATTACCACTACCCAGAGCACCCTAGCCAGCATTTCTCTCAGTAGTGCAGGCTCTGATCTCCAGTCCTGTGGATCTTGCGTATTTAGAATCCATGCTTCAGCATCCTCCTGGCTGGAGCCAAGCCTCCCTCCTACTGTCAGCCAAGGAGCAGGGTGACAGCAATAGCCTTAGAGAATCAGGCTTGTTTAAACCAAGCCCTCATTATCTGACAGAAACAAGGGGGAGCATAAATCGAAGTCAAAACTGTGACTGACTGTGCAAAAAGAAAATCATATGACTGCAGCGTCCTCATGTGATTGTTGCTTTTTTTTTGTTGTTATTCAATCAGCTACATTGCCAGTTGAAATGTCAGGTTTGAAGGCATTCACAATTATTTTTTAAACCATGTGGGACATTAACTTTAATTGCACTCCTTTGTTTCCAGGTTGTTGATCCTAGAAGTGAAAAGTGACCTTCAAACACTGTGGTTCAGCACTGGGAGCCTGATCCAAAGTCTGCTGGGGAGAAAGGAAGTTCGAATGCTCATTCCCAAGAGGGTTTTGAGAACCTCCAGAGGAAAACTGCTGACAACAAATGCCTGTTAATTAAAACCAAAAATTTATCAGCCTAAAAACAATAAAGTTGGTTACGATGGAGTTTTTTGCCATGTTATTTGATACATGAAATTGTTACATAAATTTTGAGTGACAGTCTGAATAAGAACCAGCTGGTAGAAATTATTAAACATGTTGTAAATAGACTTCAGAGGCACTGAGGATCAGGCCTGTGGTTAAAGGAATCCAAACCCACCAGGGCTGGGGTAATAACTAAAAGGTGGCTTTACTGTGACACTCCAGTCCTTCACATTCTTCCTCCTCTGCTCTTGGGCCTTAGATTACACATTCCTGCAGGGCTGACACAGAAAATATTTGGGTCCACTTGTGGTGTGGTTGCAGCCAACATTCACAAGAGGAGAGGAGAAGGGAAGAAAGAGCTAGGGGGAACAGAAGTGTAAAGGAAGTGAAAAGAATAAAAAGCTAAGAAAAATATGGTAAGTCAAGAGTGAAGAGACCGTCTGACAACTGAGCTGACTTCTCTAAGAGTTCTAGCCATAGCTGACTGTGTCTGAGAATGAGTGTCTGAAACTCTGAAGGCTTGCTTGAAACCTGTGGATCATCATCGGATCTTAAATTACCTTTATAGTTTCTACATTACTACTCTTGGTCTCTGAGAAACAGCTTTGCAATTTAAACAAGTGAATTGAATCAGGCAGCTATAAAGGAGAAAAAGTTTGAAATATATCCTAAACATTCTCCGAGCAAAGAAACACACATTCAGAGAGATTTAGGGCTTCATCTGACAAAGAAGTGCGTGGGTAGGAAGTGCTTGGTACTTCACAGCTTTAGCAGCTCAGTTATTAAATCTCATTGAGGAGATACACATCTCTGCTACCTGAAGGGCTGTCAGATGACAGGGTGTGAACACATCATGTGTACCTGCATGTCTAGACTGACAGAGCTGGCACGCTCACACTGCTATCACACCGCCATCAGCGCAACATGAATACAGAAATTGTTTATTGCTGCACACAGGAACTTTAAAAAAAAGAAGAAGAAGAAGAAGAGTGCAAAGGGGAAAAAAAAAAGAAAAGAAAGGAAAGGAAAGGGAAAAAAAAAGGATTTGGAGTATAACTTGGCTTTTGGCCAAGAAAGTAAAGGAAAACAAGACAATCTTGGTTTGGCAACCAGGTGCATTTAGGTAAATGTTGTCTGCCATAACCAGTGATCTCTCAAGGGAACTCTGCTCAGGGCTTGACAAATTCCATTCCTGGGAAGAAATCATCTGTGCCCTACTTCACATGGGACAGTGGCATCAGCTGATTGAACCAAACATGTAAACAAAGCTGCCTTAGCACTCTGCAGCTCTTCTTGTACTGGGAAGGAAAAAAGCTCCTCACCAGTTTCTAGTATCATCTCTCTCAGTTTATCACTGAAAAATTAATTAACCCTTGCAACTCATCAAACAGGCTTTTTGTAATTCCAATGCCTTTATTTTTTGCCTTTGTAGTAGCTAAAGCTATGCATTTTACCATTTTTTATATTTTTTTATTTTTTAAAGGTGTTTCCTAGCAGTCAATAATTTCCCAGATTCCTGTGTTTGGGTTGGTCATAGAATCATAGAGTGGTTTAGGTTGGAGAAGACCTTTAGGATCATTGAGTCCAGCTGTTAACCCAGCACTGCCACTAAACTACGTCCCTAAGAGACGCATCTACACATCTATGAAATACCTCCACCACTTCCTGGGCAGCCTGTTCCAATGCTTGACAACCCATTCTGTGGAGAAATTTTTCCTAATATCCAATCTAATTTTTTTTCCAAGATCTCTTCCAAGATGTTTTAAAGATCTTTACCAAACTTGGCATTTTACCACAGCATAGGAACAAGGAATGACCACAGCATGAGATAAGGCCCAGGAGTGACCTTATCTCTCTCTACCTTATCTCTCTACTTGAAAGAAGGTTGCAGCAGGGGCTGATCAGTCTCTTTTTCCAGGTGACAACTAACAGGATAATAAGAGATGGCCTGAAGTTGCACCATGAAAGATGTAGAATGTCTTTTGTCATACAAATAATTTTTGGACAGATTTGCTCTTGAGGGAAGGCTTGAATGAGCCTGCCATCTCTCTGCTTTTGTTTTTGGTCTCTCCCTACAAATGCTAAACTCCCTGCTCAGTCGTAGCCATGTGTGTAGCAGTGCCCCAAAATGCCTCATGAAAGCAGCTTGTGGGGAAGCTGGGGGAACCCAAGAAGTCATCTGCAGCGCTTTGCAAATCCTCACAAGAGCTCAGCCTTGAGACACAGACCCACAGAGTGCCCTGGCCCACTCATCCTCACAGGTGGACTCACCTTTCCTGCCCGTGGTGGGGCTGACCCGTGCAGATGACCAGCAGTTACAAACAAAGCACAATAACAGATACTGACCATCCAGATTGCACCACACGCCTTTTCTAAAGGTATGTAAAGGAACTAGGTTTATTTATTACCTCTGGATAGGTTTGTTGTGGGTTTTTTTCCACTATGATGACAGTGCAAGGAGGAGGTGCAGCTATCCTGGCAGTCCCAGGGCTCTGCTGTGGTAGCCCATGGTCTTCCAAAGTCTCTGTAAGCTTCTGGCTGTTGTATGTGCACCTCAGCTGGCCCACCTCCAGTTTGGCAGCTGCCAGAGTTAATTTACTCTCTGGACATTGGTTTTACTCTGCTACTTTTCTCATATTGATTTAATGAATTGTAAATGATGTATTTTTTAGTCACCATGATTCATGGAGGCACAGACCTCTTCCAATCAGGAGAGTAGATAATTGCAGTGAAAGTACATGATTATGGTTGCACGAGACTCATATTTTTTCATCATATTTTAATGAAATTGATTCAGGCTTCTCTGTTGCTCAGAGTGGTGTTAAAATATCGATTTTGTATCATTCAGCTCAAGAGAGCAATCAAATTTTTGCTGAAAAGTTATGTTTTTTCTAAAAACATTAATTGATACTTTGGCTAGGAGGAAGAGAAAAATTTATTAAAAAAAAAATTGTCCAGAAACAATCAAACCAGCAAACTCTGGGCAAAAAAGTGATTTATCAAAGAGAATACACTTAACAAGAACATCTGCTCTGTGGTCTCTTTGGTGGGAGGACACTGAAGGAGAAGTAGTTTCACAGCCAAAGCTCCTTTAGAGCTTTTTTAAGAAATAAATAAACTGAACATACTCAGTTGCACCTTACTCCCTGTATGTGCTATGTTTCACTTAGTATGGGCGAGGGATAAGAGTTCACCACAGACACTCAGTTGTTTTATGGTCCAGTGAAATTGCCTTGACTGCTTAAGAAATAACCTTAGCACTTCCCTGAAATAGAAGTCAGAAATAATGAAAATGCTGGCAGCTGAACTTTAGCGTAACATACTCCTTAATGTGTTAACATCAAAAAAATGGGCAAAATGCTGCATTTTTTGGACTGTGTTCCCACTGACTCACAGCAGTAATTCAGAGAGCAACCTCTTCCTTAGAGGCTAGAACAAGCAGTGAATGCACAGGCAATAGCGAGAGGAGAAAAAAGATGAATATATTACAAAGCAACCAGCCTGCTATCTAAATGCCCCATTTAGATACTAATATTTATGGCATAAAAGGGAGGCAAACTGAGCAAATGGAGCTGTTGTACTCCTAGGGAGGGGTTGCCATCACCTTAGGACATAAATCCACCTGGCTCCACCTTCTGCAGCTGGCAGCATTGAGGAGGACTCATTGGAGGGCTGGGAGAAATAGAAGGGAAGCAATTGTACGGGGTTTGGTTTGAGTTGGGTTTTCTCAAATTTGTCTGCTGCCATTTGCACGGCGTGGTCACGACTTGCCAGGGCAAGGGGTAACCAGGGAGGCAAGGAGGAGCTGTGCCATAACTTGCTCATTCCCACTCATCCATCACCACCTCGACTCCTTTCAGCTGCTGCAGACTAACAGGGGGCAGGATCAGGCTCTGATGCTCTGCGTGCAGGGCAGGGGAGGACACTCAGGCCCATGCAGCACCAAATCAGGGGTTACTGCCCTCCCCCACAGCTGGAGGGGCTCCTGCTTGCAGAAACTTCAACAGGAACTGCTGCTTGACTGGGACAAATGTGTATTTTTAATACCCTGTTCCCAAATGCATTACATAATAATCTTTAAAAGTTCTGATCACATATGGGCAGGGAAATATATTAAATATATAAGAGTTAGTCTTCTGGGCTCATCTTAAATGAACGCCCATATCCTTTATTCATACTCTCTGTGATAGAAGCAGTAAATTTGCACTAATTCTGTTTTAAATCTGCATTGGAATATGGTTATTTTATTTCAGCTTTCTTTGCCAATGCTGGAAAATCTAACGTGGCTTTACTGTGTTGCCATGTGAGAACCAAAAAAATTGATTTAATACAGCAGCCTACTTGCAATCCCGGGCTTAAGTGAAATACTGAGGGTAAAATCTGTCTAGCATGTGGACTGCACTGGTCACCAGAGCTATGATCCCAGCATGGAAAATAATATGTAACATAAATAGAATCATTACAGAAAATGTGCGTGCATCCTGTAATAGAAAAATCTGCTTCTTAGATCTATAATTTAAATTGTCTCCCTGAAAAGAGCAAAACAGCTTAACAAATCTTTCCCCAGCCATGCTGTTTAATTGCAGCTGGTTGCTCAGAGCATTGCTGTATTGCTCTTTGGTGCCCAGCACAAGAGGCTTCAGTGTGAATGGTTCACACTGCAAATGGTTCGCATCCGCTGCTCATGGACAGAAGGTGAAAAATGTCATTAAAAAAAATTCAGATCCAATGTGTGATCATTGCCATTCCTCTCAGTAAATGTTATTATATGAATATGAATAGTCTGAATTTAGTCCTGTACTGTGTCTGGCATGAAAGTGTAAAAAATAGAATAGACCTGAAGAAAATAAAGAGAAGCATAAGTGAAGAGAAGGAAAATGGATTGTCAGTCAAACCTCAGTATATTCACATTGACTTCTCATGCTGCTGTTGTAGTAGTGGTATTTGGATGAAGGCAAAAAATAAGTTCTTATTAATTAAGAACAAAATGATAAAATGAAAATAGATATTATTTGATCTCTTAATTGTTCTGTTACATTTCAGGGTACCTACTTCTTCTATTATTACATAATGTAAAAGAACTTTTGGCAAGAAAAACTAGCTATCAAATGGTGTGTTGTAAAATGACAAATAAAACCAAGAAAAATCAGGTTTTGCTAAGACATAGAGGCCAAGGAAACTCAAATTATAAATAATTCTTCACTGAGCAATTTTTTTAATCAATTCAGCTTTTGTGGATGTTCTGGTAATAAATAAAAACTACATCAGATGAGTCCTGAGATAACACTAATTAATTACTAATACCTTTCCTTGTGTTTGAATTTTATTCAAATCAAGAAGAAATCAAGAAATTCAGTTGAGACATTGACAAAAGTAAAGACATGTAGTATATAACCCAAATGGCTGTATTTGTTTTATTTAGAATATAATGGGAACTCAGAGCTTCTTTACCGTTTCAGGCTGTTTATTTGTCTGGGATGAAATTCAAAAGTCTGAAACCAGGAGCAAATGATGAAGCTGTTTACCTGTTTTGGCAGCCAAATTACTGGATTTCACCCAGATACACATTTATATTCCCTTCCTCTGCTGTGACCCTACACTTATATTTTGAACATACAAATGTTTGTATTTTTAGGCATAATCTTCCAAGTAGAAAACCTCAGCTGAAGGTCACTGATGAGTGAAAATGAAATGAGCCCCACAGTGAGAATGCCATTGGATGTCATTGCTGTAGTGGTGTTGTCACTTGGCAGTGGGGAGAGAAGTGGCCTTGGCAGTGCTGGGTTAACATTGGGTTAACAACAATCTTAAAGGTCTTTTCCAGCTGAATCTGTGGTTCTGTGAGTAAAGAGCATTGCTGAGGCACCACAGCCCCAGGCTGGAGCACTGACAGCAGTGGATCAGTGTTTTGAATGGGTATGGTTTTCACCAATATCTCAGAAGAAATCCAGCTCTGGGTT